TCGCTGCCCGCGCCGCCGCCAAATAAACCCTCCCTCCTCCCCAGCTCGCGGGCTCCAGGGGGAGGGCTCACACGGTGATCCATCAGCAGGCTCCCAGCCGGCCCTGGGCGTGGACGGGTCGGGCACCCCCCTGACCACGCGCCGGTGGCTCCCGCCTCCCCAGACCCTCCCACGCGCTTTGGAAACAGCCTGCACCCCCTTCCCAGGAGGCGGACTCACCCTGGGAACCGTTAACAAGGATCCGCCCTGCCCCCCACGGAGCTAAGTTGCTGGCCCCTCACAGCCACCTCTTCAGGGCGGGGCGAGGAGCCCAGGGTGGAGACACCCCGCCCCAGCTCACAGCCCGGTAGGCCCTTCCTCCGACCCCTCAGGCAGGCTCTGCGAGGTGCTCTGGCCCTGCTGGGTCCTGGTGGTGCCCCAGGGAGAGGCAGGACCCGGGAAGCAGGGCGCTGACCCACCGGCCCTGGCCTTGTGCAGCCTTGATGCCCTATGACCCTATGACCCTGAGTGCTGCTTCTCCAGCAGGGAGGGGCTGGCTGACCTCAAGGTGTGACCAGTGGCCCCTCCTCTTCTTGGGGCTCAGAGCCAATCCTTTCTGCCCAAAGGTCTGCCCTCACCCTGCTCTCCCCCAGGAGCAGCTTGGCCTCGAGCCAGGGGAGGCGGGAGACTAGTCCCCGGCCAGGCCCCGTGGAGGTCAGCACCTGCCCGAATAGCCCCTCGCCTCCACAGCCCTCAGCCCAGCTGCACCTGAGCACCTGGGGCGGGGAGGACAAGGGGGCCTGGGTCCTTCCCTCACTACCCCAGGAGCAGGCAGGAAGCCGGGGCCAGTTCAGGGTCACAGGCCCTCCCTGGGGCTGTCACTGCACAGTGGCGGCCAGGGGGGCTGGAAGCCTGAGCCCGGACCCCACTGGCAGCCGTCCATCAGGTGGTGTAGACCAATGGTCAGAGCCCAGCTGGCCCCAGCCACTGAGTGCAGCCCCGAGGAAGGTGGAGCACACGGGGCCCGGGGACAGCAGAGGCCCCCCCGGACCCTCTTCAACTTCCAGCCGTCTGCCAGGAGCCAGGGAGGCAGCCCAGCAGAGATCCCAGCCCGGCCACGCCCACGGTCAGTGCCAGGCAGGGCCCATGGTCAGCGGCCACACCC